GGTGGGCTGGGAGGGTTGGTGGAGGGAGCCAGCCCAGGAGGGGCCGGCACACGTGCACTCACCAGAATGCCCTGGAGTGTCATTAGGGAGGAACTGAGTGTCCCAGCTGGAATGGCCCCTCCTGCTGTCCCTGGACTGTCCTAGTGGTCACTAGGTCAGTGTGTGGTCTCCCAGCTCTGCAGGGTAGAGGCTGGTGCTAGAAACCAGCCTGCAGGGGGAGGCCAGCAGGACCACAGCCATGTGCCAGAGACAGGCCCTCTTGCAGCTTAGGTGGCAGCTCAGAGGCGTTGACAGAGCTAGGGACCACCCCAGCTACACATCTTACACCTGTTAGCCCACTGACGACCAGAAGGCCAAATTGGGAGGCCAAATCTTGCCTTTCCTTCTCTCCACTTCCTTGCGTGGGAGCAAGGCTCTCAGTCTTCCCAGACACCTAACCAGAGCCAAGCAGTGCCAAAAATAACCTCTTCTGGCCCTGTGAACTGGAGGGGCAGGCTGCCTGGGTGCGTCCATCCTGCCCCACGGCTTGCACAGGAGCCAGGCTGGTGGATGATGAGGTCTGAGCTTCCAGTCCCTGCTCCTCCTTCTGCCTGAGATGACAAGGTCCCTGCCCCACCCCTGAGGCCAGCAGGGGGCCTGTCCAGGAGACCAGCCCAGCCCAGGAAAGCCAAGCTGCAACCATGCCTCACTCCAATCCTTTCACCCGGCAGGAGGCTCAGTGCCTGAGAAGCAATTGAAAATAGAGCCTAAGTATAAGCGGCTTAGTGGGGTTCTGAGAAGGGGACCAGGGAAGGGGGCCAGTGAGGTGGGGGTGGGGACAGGGGGATCCTCAATCTTCTCAACCTGGCCTTGGGGAGGATCAGATGCTGCAAGAAGAGAAAGAACAAGACACATAGGCACTCCACTCACTTTCTCTTCTAGGGACAGGGGTCACTTAAAGGTGTCCCAGTGCCCTTGACCAGATCAGGGCCTGCCCCACCCCCTCGGCTGGCTCCAGGCCTGCAGGGCTGAAATGCCTGGGTTTATTCTCTTTGCAAACACAGGCACAGAAGAGACAGTCTAAACAGACAGCATGTCCTCGAGTTCAGCACAGCCCTGGCTGTTTTATCCACAGGACCCACTGTGTAGGCAGAAGTGACAATTCCCAGAAGCCCTCCACAAAGGGTCTCCGAGGTAAACCCAGTTGCCTGCCTGCCTCTAGCCGGGAAGAGGTTCCCTTGCATTGCTAAATGAAGAGCTGGCCTGCTCAGATCACCCTGGGGTCCAGTGCAAATGGCCTGGAGTCAGGGCCCAGGAAATTTGTTCTGAATCTGTATCTTTGGGGAGGGGGTGAAAATGCCCGTTCCCAGAGAGCCCTGGCCAAAGGCAGTGGCCTCTTCCCTCCCCTTGGGCCCTGATGCCCCCTCTTCCTGGGGCGCCCCTTCCACCTCTCTGAGCGTGGCTGATGCCTGCTTAGGCTTCAGGTCTCACTAGAAGGGTCACTTCCTCTGTGAAGCCCTCATGACCACTAGGCTGAATTAAGTTCTTATGTGTCCTGTCTGCACTCGCTTAAGCATGCGTTTTTATGTACTGCAGCCCACCATGGGCCAGGCCCGTGCTAGGTAGGCAGCCAGGTCGTAGCAAACAGAGCCTCTTCCCCCTACCTCCAGCTCAAAGCAGGGGGTGGGGAGGCCCCCCCCAGGCACTGCGGCTCTGCGTTATAGGCTCCCAAAGGCTGCGCTCCCCTGCTGTGGCTGCGCCTCTTCTCGCCCCACCCCCCATCACTAAGCCTGGTCTCCGCTGGGAAAGCTGTGCCCCCGCTGAGATTTTGGGGACTTGGCGCCCCTGTGCCGAGGAACCCTCGGCTGGGACCATCGCTCTCCGCTGGGCGGGGCTGCGCAAACAAAAGCCGCGCGAAGACAAAGACTGCGCGGCTTCTGCCGCAGCGCGCAGATTCGCAGCGCTCCGGGTCCATGTCCCTCACCCCTTGCCTGGCCTTTGCAATGGCAAACAAATCCATTTTTTAAGTCACATGAAGGCAAAAATTCTCTTCCCTAAACATGTGTCCCCCTCTGCGGCACACAGAGCGGAGGGAACAAAGAGCGCTCCCGGGATGCAGTGGAGGGCCACGATGGGAGGGAAACGCAGGCGCACACCCGAGATCGGCGGGGGACAGAGCCCGCGGTGTTCGTGGGCACGCGGCTCACTGGAGGGGAGCTGTCCGGACTCGGGGCCCCGGGCTCCCCGCAGTCTTGCCGCAGTCCGAGCGCGCGGCACCGCCCGCAGTTCCGCGAGGGGCACCCGCATTGCGGCTGCGCGCCAGGCGGGCGCGCGCGTGTGCCCGCTCGTGTGTGCACGCGCCACCCGGACGCCCGCAGTCCCCTCGTCTGCGCCCCTCCCCCGTCGGCGCGCACCTCTCCGCCTGCGAGCCCTGGGGAGCGTGTGCCCCGCAGCCGTGGGGGTGGAGGGCTGGTCGGGGAGCCGCAGAGACGGAGGGGAGGGGAGAGGAGGGCTTACCACTGCTCACTGCTGCAGCATCTGCCCTGACACAAAATGCACTGTCAGGCCAAGGGGTTGGCTAGAGGCCTGGGCCCCCTACGCTCCCAGCTCGCTGTCCCAGCTGTCCCCTTTGCATTGGGGCAGATTATGCCTCTGGCGCTGCGGCTGGGGTACTGCCCTCCTCCCCCTGTTAGTATTTCTCAGGCTGGTGAGAGGCTGGGAAAATGGTCCTTGGGTGCCTAAGTCACTTGTATTCATTTAGGGGAAAAGAAGAACCAGGTAAACTCCACGATTCTCCCTGGCCAGGTGGGGGCCAGGTGGGAGCCAGGTGGGGCCTGGCAGTTCCTCTGCCCCATCTCCCTTCCCTTTCCTTACTTGAAAGGACACCTGACCAAGACCAAAGGGAAAAGGTCTTTCAGGAACTTGATCTGTTCTCTGTAGGGCACCTGGGCTGTGGTGGGTGGCAGGATGGCCCCGTCCAATTCAGCAGGGCACTCCGTGCTCCCGCCCAAGCCACTGTGGAGCTAAGGTTCCCCTAGCTGTGCCCCGGCTGGGGCTGACACAAAACCAACATGGCTCAGACTCCCAGGTCTTGATGTGGGATGGAGGGCGGCACCGCCACATCCCCAACTTCTGTCATCTCTCCTGTGCATCCTGCAGGGGCAGGGAGTGCGTATTTCAACTTGGAGGCTGCAGAGGTCAGAGCTCCAAGTCCCAGGGGAGGGGGCTGCAGGGAGCAGGTGCCCAGCTCGGCTGTTGGCAGGCCAGTGCCCGAGGGCCTGTGTTTGTCAAGAGGTAGTTATGGCTCTGCTCCCCTGTGGTCTCTATCACAGCATCCTCCCCTGCAGGTAACCTCTGGGGTGCAGCTGACTCTCTGGGCTTCCAGGGGGTGCCAGCAGATGTTTCCTGTGTCTGGGGCACTGCCTGGCTGTGACTTTGTTTTCTGCAAAGGCTCCATCTTCCAGATGGGTCCTAGACTAGGCCCCAAATCCTTCGGTCCACCCTAGCGAGGCGGACCGGGTCACTCAGGGAGAGTCAGGGCTCTACAAAGCTCCCTACTCCAGTCCCCACTTGTTCTGCAAAACTGAAACCGGATTTCCTAAACAGGAGCCCCTGGTCACACTGCCCTTCTCTGTTACATCCTGCTGGTTATCGTCACAGCTCCACCTGGCTCCAGCTTCACCAGGGATGCTGCCAAGGACAGCACAGTGCTCCCAGGCAGCCACCGCCATGGTGCAGAGCCTGCTGACCTAAAGCCATCTCTGAGAATATCTCCTGAGGGTTTACTGGCCAGAGCAGCTGCCGGCCACCCTCTCACCGCTGGGACAGGGGCTAGATAAGGCCGAGGTTTGCACACTGGGTGGTTCAGGAAAGCTGTCTGGGGCATGTCCTTAGGCCAGACATCGTTCAGCAGCTAGTGGCAAGAGGCAGTCTGCGAAGTGAGATGGCAGAAGGGCTGCTGTGGGTGGGGGAGGGGTGCCTGGGGAGTGGACCCCTGCAGGGGGCCCAGTCTCAGCTAAGCCAAGATCCCAACCTCCTGGGCTGGTGGGGTCTCTGGCAGGGTACTGCACGGATAGTCACCTCTGTGGGCTGCCCCGATACTGAGGTCATGTACAGCCATCCCTCCCACCACGTCTCCAGTGCAGAGAGCAGCCTGGGTTCAGCCCCTCAGGCCTTGGCCAGCTCGGGGGCCTCCTGAGGCATGCCCAGGCATGGAAGAGCAGCTTCTGACCCTGGTGTCCCCGCCTGCCTTTGGAAGCTCTTCTCTACAGAGCCTCTGGTGCCTCGGTGGCCGGGGGTAGCCAACACTCACCAATCCCATGGACAAGGTCAGTGGCTCTTGGGGCCCCTGCCCCTCCTAGGCCAGCAGGTCTTGCCTGCTCCCTGGAACCCATTGGACTCCCTTGTCCTCCACCCTCTGCCACAACCATGATCCTGGGCTTGTCTCAGAGGTAGAAGTACAAACAGCCAAGGAGCAGGCATCTGAGGGCTTCCAGGAGAAGGTCTGGCTAGTTAGCCCTAAAAGGCAGATGAGTCAACATGGAGTTTTGGCTGTCCAGGCCTCCAAATCCAAAAGTAGCCCAGGCCTGAGCTGCCTTCCCAGCTTCTGCAGGCCTGGGGCGTGGCAATGCCCCCCAGGAACTTTCTATGCTTCCAGGAAGCCCTGGAAACAGGCCTGGGAGTGCACAGTAGGTGCTTGGACCTTGCTGCTTGGGATCTGCTCCCGAGGGATCTCTTAAGCTCCCTCAGGGCTGGTTTGGCCAATCAGACCACCCAGCAGCAGTGACAGCCACAGGCCACGCTCACATACTTCATTCTGTCCAGAGAGACTGAGATGAGGGTGGGCCAGCCAATGGCCAGACACACAGCATGGTGGAGACCCAGCAGGCCCTTCTTCAGCAGACACTGTACCCCTCCCCGCCCCTTCCTCGGTGCTTACTCTTTATTCACACCCTGTACACAGGGTCCCCAAGTGTCGCTTTCCCTCAGTGCCTACCACGGTGACCCAAGCACTTTCTTACCGTCCAATGACAGCCAGTCGTGCTGGGAGGAAGGGAGTGTGGGCAGGGCCCGAGCTTTGTACTCAAACACCACCGAGTTGGAGATGATCTGGTTGTTGAAGGCAACTTGTAGGGTCACTAGACCAGTGTCATGGGCTGAAAGCAAGAGAAACAGAGGTCAGGTCGAGGGGTGGGGATCCTATAGCCTGGTGAACCACACAAGGACCTGAAGTGTCCCCTCCCCACTGCCCTTGATCAGTTAATGTCCAAATCTCCTCAATCCCAGCCTGTGCCTGAACATTGCTCAAGGCCCAGATGCAATGCTGCTGCTTCTAGGAACTTTTTGGGTCCCCGGACTCAGCCAGGCGCTCTGTCATCGATCCCTTGCATTTGTACTGTAACTGCCATGTGCCCCTCTGCTCTCTGGTGAGGGCAGGGACGGGGTGCTCCGTTCAGACAGACTGAGCAAAAAAATGAACACTCCCCCACCCCCAACCCATGGCCTGTTAACTTCTCCCCTCTTCTCATCCATCCCAGGTGGGTTCAGGTAAGACATCTGCTTCGGATTTCTTTGTGCTTATATCTGTTTCACCTTTTCCTACAAGCTTGTCCTGAGTCAGTGAAGGTGACATCCCGCATATTTTTAGAAGTTCTTTCACCTCCCGGATAAAAGCAAGAGCTTCTGCTGTGCTTCTCTTTGTCTGGTCCCAGCCAGGGCGGGATGCACTGGACCCGGTGGGTGCTGAGCCAGGGGTGCTGGGGCCAAGGTTGAACCTCCCTCCAGTGGCCAGAGAGGAAGCTTTGGGAGGGCAGGGCTCTGTGTGTCTCAAAGGCTGCTGTGGCCCCTACACAGGGCTCAACAAACACTGTGCGTGCTGAATGCTGAGAGACCGTCTCACCATGAACAAGAGGGGGCCAGCCTGTGGGGGAAGCCTGCTTTGGTCCGGGGGTTGAGGTTGCCATTCCGTTTCCCCTCAATATCTGGGGGGCTGGCCTGAGGCCCACAGATGGTGGCTGTGCAGACTGCCCTGCCTCACCAGGCCACATCCCCTGGTAGACGTCAGGGTTATGTGCCCTCTGCCCTGCTTTTCTGGAACACCAGATCCGGACACCCAGGGCCTTCCCAGTACAGATTTACAGGGAGGATACACACGGGGATCGCGTTACTGTTTGAGCTCTTGGTTTTCAGAAGCTTACAGACTCGAGGACGCTGTCCAAGTCAGCCGCTGCCTGGGACAGAGGACAGCTGCAGCTTCCCTCTGTGGCCATCTGCTGCAGACCCCACCTCTGGTGGGAAACCAACTTATCACCCTGCAGCCCCTGTCCCTCCTGGTGTATGTAACACAGCAGCCATCCTGCCACTGTCCCCAGACCAGGCCTTTGGGAGTCACTGCCCAAGGGTGAGCAGGGGTTTTTCCCCTGTGCTTTCCATCCTGGCTCACCACCGCAGCTCCAGGTCACAGCCTGAGCCAACGAGCTCCATGGTGGAGTCACCTAAGACCTCGGAGGAGCCTGGGCAGGGATCTCCAGCCAAGTTCAGAACCTCCCACAGCTCTGACAGTGTCCCTGGGCAGATCTCCAAGCTTGTGGTCGCAGGCTTCCCTGGGGGATTCGCCTGGTTTACCAACAGGAAGGAAAGGCGGCCAGCGCACACCCCTCTGTGCCCGTCTGCGCTGCGGCTCTCGGCAGTGGGAGGCCAGCCCCGGGAAGCTCATGGCTTCTCTGGGACTAGATGTCCCAGCTGCAGGGCCCTTCTCAACTGCCGCTCCTCTTCCACTGCTCCTGGCACTTGCGCAACCTGCTGGAATGGCGGCAGACTCCAAGGATTCCTCCCTTCCCCAGAGAGACGGGGCGGAGGGCACCTAGCGTGGTCTCCTGGGTCCCAGCCTGGCAGCCCAGCTCACCCAGCCTGATCACGCAGGAGGCTTCCTTGACTTACTTGGTCTATCAGCAAGTCCTGTTTCCATCTGTCTCTCTCCATCCCCATCTGTCTCTGCTCCAATCCATGCTGCTGTCATTTCTCGTCTAGACTCCTGCACTAGCTTCCTGCTGAAGGCAGTGTCAGTACACCTGTGACCTGTTCCTGCTGGGATGGTGTCAGGGGCCATATTCCAACACCCCCAAGGAAACCAGTGGGAGTGTGGTGCCCAAGGGAGCTCTCCTTAAGCCCAGAAAGATCATCCCTCTGTCCCTTTCCAGTGGCTTCCCTGCTCCTGTTCCTCTTCCCTGTGATCTGTTCTCCCACACTCCCAGAGTCATCTTTTAAAGACATAATTTCGATCAAGCCACTCCTCCACTTAAAACTAATGGCTTCTCATTGCAAGTAAGAGCAAATTGAATTCCTTCCCATGGCCTAGAAAGACAGACATGATTTGGTTTTGGCCCTTGCCATTGTCTCCAATCTGACATGTTCAACTCCCCTAACCCCACTAAGGCCTTCCAGGCCTCTTTCCTTGCCGAACCTCTTCCTGCCTCAGGGCCTTTGCACTTCTTTGCCCTCTACCTGGCCTGCATGCTTTTCCTGCCTCTTCCCATGACTGGCTGTATCCCATCATCCAGGAGCCAGCCCGTGAGAGACCTTCCCTTGTCAGTGTATGGGAAAGAAGTTCCTTCTTCCCAAACTACTCCAACACATTGCCATGTTCTACCGTTATGATCCAGTTCCACCAGTTATCTCGCTTGTTTGTTTCCTCGTTTGTCTTCTGTCTCCCTGCAGCAGACTGTTTGCTCATGCGAGCTGGGACTGGGTCTGTCTTGATCTTTCTGCCCAGTGGCAAAGTTACTGCCTGGCATGTTGTGGCCACTCAATAATTATTTGTTGAATAAACTGCTTCAAAACACACATCTTCACCTCATTTTGCATTTCATTTTTTGCCTTTGGTGAGCTCCCAGGCATCTACGGTGGGGCTGTCTGGCCAGTAGAGTCTCCTTGGTAGGTTCCTGTAGCTTCTCCGGAGCCCAGCTGCCTCTCCCTAGTGCTCCACCTTAGCTCAGTGCCCTGACTTGGTGGACTCTTTCTGCACCTGCGGCGCCCCTGGAGTCTTGTAGAAGACAGATTCCATGCCTGTGTGGCTCCTGCTGGCAGTGATGGTGTGGGAGTTGCCCAGGCAGGACCCTGTTCCCAGTCAGGGCCGAGTCACCCCATCCATTTTGCTTGGGCAGGTGCGCCGGGCCGGTGGGCAGCAGCCGTTCCTGCTGCCTGTGCTCCCTCCTCCGTTCATTCCCGGCCCCCGAGGTAGCCTGGCTGGTGCTCACAAGCCTCTGAGCTCTTCATTTTGGTGAGGCCAGTTTGGTTCTGGCTTCAAGTGCTCTTCCTTCCAGCTCAGCCCCAGGTTCCCCTGGGGAAACCAAGAGCTGATGTCCCCAAGCAGCCTGCATTGTCTCCTGGGGCAGTGGTTGGTTTATGTGACCTGATCCTTCCTGGGCTGGGAGCTCCCTGGGACTAGGGTCCCAGTTAGGGGCTGGGTCTCATTCTTAGCTCCATTCCAAGCACCTACTCAGTGCATGGCAAGCAGGGGCTGCTCCAGAACTATTTGGCAGATGAGGAAATGAATGAACAAATGAATGAATGAATGAATGAATACATCCAGTGCTGTGTTACAAAATGACATGTTTCAATTTGGGCCTTAAAACAGAGATGTCCAAAGGAAACCCCCTTTGCAGGGTTAGCTGTAAAACAGAATGGCACTCTAGTGGAGGGGCCCCAGCTCTCAGTATGCCTCCAGCCTGTGGCTTCTGGTTCCTGGGTCCGAGACTCACTATGTGTAACACAATGAGCCCGAATGACTGGGTAGAGGCTCTGCCTGCCAGCTCTGGGACCAGAAGACCTGCCTGCTGAGACCCCAACAGCTCTGGTGCCTGCTCCATATTCCCCCTGGGAACCAAAGCTAAGGACTTATTAATGGGGCACTTTCATGAGTTGAGCACCTGAGCCAGATGCTTCAGGAAATTTCTTTCACTTACTGCTGTCACCTGGCTGGTAGGCAGTTTTCAAAGATGTAGAAACTGAGGCCCAGAGAGGTCAACCACTGAGCTAAAGTCACATGGATGGTTTCTGGCTGATCAGGGATGGACCCAGGTGTGACTGACTCCAGCCCCAGGATTCTGCAGGTCTTGACCTGGGACATGGTCCAGAGGCACACACAGGCCAGTGCTCTTTTTTTGGAGGGGTCAGGTAACTGAGGACAGGCCTGAACAGCCCTGCCCTGGGGCTTCAGCCAGGCAAGAACCAGGAACAGGAAGTGGCATCTATTTTTAGGCTAGGCGAGTTCCATTCCAGCAGCAGGTGATGAGTGGTCTGTTTAATGACACACAGCCCTCTCCCCCAGCCCTGCAGGGCAGGGGCTGCACTAGCCATGCACAGCCCTGCACTATGACAGCTTGACTCCGCCTGGCTGGCTTCCCTCTGGCTGTGCCCCAGGCCCAGCAGGGCTGTTGGGAGCCAAGAGGACTGGGTTGGCCCTATGGAGCCAGCCAGGCAGGGCCACCAGGGGTAGAGGCTCCCTGGGATGTTTGTGGTGAAGGAGGTGCAGGGGTCAAGAAGAGGCCGAGCACATGTGGCTACCCCTGGAGTTGGGATTCCTGTTCTGGGGGCTGCAAGGGGTGATTGAGAGGGAGAAGGAAGAATGCTCCATGGGAGCCCAGGAGCCCCAGACTGGGCGCAAGGGGGGACAGATGGCTGGGCTAGCCAGGGCTTAGGTTAGCTAGGAGAACCCTGGGGCCTCCCAGCACTGGCCAGCTCTGCTCCTGCCCTGGGGACCCCAGCTCCCACTTCTCTCCCCTGTGCCTGGCCTTCTCCATGGAGCATTCTCCTCTCCTTTGCACACTCCCTGGCTTTGAGTGACTGGGGTGTATCCCTCTGCCCTCTGCCACCCCAGCCTCCTTGCCTCTTTCTCCTGCTCATTGCTGGGGCCAGCTGGTCAGGCCATCCCTAGAACTCTTGATGTGTGCCTAGCTCAGCCCAGGGGTCCTCCCGACACCAGCCCAGGGAGTAGAAAGCTCAAGCCCTAGAAACTCATTCATTCCTCTGCAAATATCCATCCTCCTCTGTGACATGCTGGCACTTTGCTAGCCCTAGATGTACAATGGTGACCAACAAAGACACAGTCCCTGTCCTCACAAAGCCGAGAGGCCAGTGGGGAGGTAGTGATGGCCAGAGGTCAAGGAGGAGCTGACTGGAGAGGGATGCCATGCTAAGTAGATAATGAGGAAGCCCTGGGGGAGGGGAGCGGGTCAGAGCCACAAGGGACAGAACAGAGGGGCACCTGGCTGGGTTTCTTGAGGAGGGGTCATTGAGCCCCCAAATTGGAATCAAATTGTGTGCATGTGCCTTTTTCTGGGCACATGGTAGGTGGCTTAATTAAATTCTCAAAGGAGTTTGTGCTGATTATTTTTAGTTTGCTGCTCCCCTGAGCCCCATTCCTCCCTTCACCCCTGTAAGGCTTTCTCCATCCCTCTATGACCTGCTATGTGTCCCAGGGGGATGGAGCCTGTGGACTGCATCACCTGGCCTCTCCTGGCACTGGCTGGCTTGGGCCCTGCAGGCACAGGCAGGAGGAAGAGGAGTAGGGGGCCTGCATTGCTGCAGGGGTGGCTCTGGCTGGGAGCTCCGGTCCGGCTCTCTCGCCAGCTCTAGTAATCCTTCAGGCTGAGGACAGCAGCAGCATCCTGCTGTGGTCATTCCTGAGTATATCACCTGGTTACCCTGCCCTAAATAGTGTCCTTGTCATGTGCTCTTCAAAATGCCAGTCGAGTGTGCCAGTGCCCTGTCGATAGAGGGCCCACGGGCCAGAACAGATGACATTCTAATAAGACTATCTGGGACCTGCTTCTTCACAGCTGAGAAAACTGAGGCCTAGAGCAATGACACAACTAGCTCAAGGTCACCCCAAGGCCGACTCTGAGTCCAGAGCTCCTCAAACCCCACACCCTGGGGGGAGCAGCCATCTCACCTGGGCAGTAGCAGCGCAGCACCCCGGGCTGAATCAAGGATGCAGGCACTGAGATCTGGTCGAACAGGCAGCTGTAGTTATTGCTGGCTTCCTGCCACGGGCCTGTGATGAGGACCTTCACTCCTCCCTGGAGGGCACAGAGAGGGGGACAGAGATGGTGTGCATGAGCCACTGAGAGGGGCAGCACAGGGAGGGCCCCTGTGGCCACACTGCTCAGATGGGGGTCAGCTCCTCTCCCCACAAGCTGGTCAAACATGCAGATTCCCAGGCCCTTGCCCCAGGGATTCTAGTCAGCCCAGGCTTTGGAAAACTGCTGCTCCAGGACTACCACCCGCAGGAAGCCCCAGGTGCCTTCCTCATTTGGCAAACAGCATAGGGGTGGCAGCTCCACCCTGACCCTCTCCTGCACAACTTGCCGAGAGTTTCCGTTCCAGCCCAGGATGCCCCTGGGAACTGGCCAGGTGGGAGCTCTGGAAGGAAGTGGAGGAAAGGGAGGAGACCTGCTGTCACTTGCTCATGGACAGACTGAAGGAACTTTTGAAAACAGGTCTGGACATCTGAGGGTCAGCCCAGGGAACAGAAGTTCTTGTGGGGACTTGAGGAGAGCCCCAGGGTGTGGCGATGGCTAGAGAGGGGGCCAGAAAGGGGAGGGATGAGGAACTCTATCAGAAAACTCGCAGAAACAGAACCGTAGGGGAGAAAGGCCAGGCTGGAGAGCCTGAGACTGCCCAGAGGAGCCGAGCCTGGGGTCAGGGCTGGGTGTTGGGATGGAGTGGGGACTGGGCATTGGGGTCACCTCCGTGCTGAGCCGTCGAGGGCACTTGCTGTGCGCCACCGCGGGCCAGCAAGTCACACAAAAATTGTTCAGCCTAGTTGGGAGGGGCCTTGACGACCTTCCTCAGCTCCAGGGGAAAGGACCCAGCCCCCAGGGACCCCCGAGGAACCTAGGGGCAGGATAGCATCAGGAGGCTCCGGCACTCTCCGACCTCCAGCTCGGTAGAGCACAGGGCTGCCCCACGCCCCGTGCCCCGTGCCCCGTGCATCCTGTGTCCTGGCCATTGTTCCCGCTTGGTGACTACTGAGAGGGCGTCTCCTCTCCCTCCAGCGGGTCTGAGGTGGACGATGCCTTCCAGGTCCCCTACTTACAGCGTAGCCGGGAACAGGGGCTGGTCACTCAGAGTGCAGAGGGTGGGGGCGATGGCCTCTCTGGCTGTCCAGGCTAACCTTGGGCGGACCCACCCCCGAGGCGCCATCCACCCCACCCCCAAACCAGTACAGTAAACACCTTTGCCTGCAGGGGGGCGGCAGCTGCGCAGGTCAGGGGGAGAGCGCCACCTAGTGCGCAGGCTGGAGAAGGAGCGAGGCGCGCCTGGAGACGGGCGGCGGGGAGTGTGGAGCACGCGGAGCCCCCTCCCCACGGAGCCCTCCTGCGGCTGCCAAAGCCACGCACTCCTGCTCGGCCTCTCGCGAGCACTGGCCCAGCCCTGCCCCGGAGGGAGCTCCAGCCTCCGCACCAGCTTGCTCCTGGTCCTTCCCACAGTGTTCCTGGAACCCAGACTGGCCCAGGGGTGGCCTGGGGCATCCTGGGGGGAGGGGAGGGGTGGTGTTGGCGGCAGGGGGATGTTTCCAGGAATGAGGTGGAAGTGGCTTCTACTTCCACCACTGATGGGGCTCTGCCAGGCTGGATGGGTTCCACCTGGGCTGGCATGGCTGAGGAGGGGTCACCTCACTGCTAGGCAACCACAGCTTGGGGACAGTGGAGACAGCTCAGGACCAGGAGCCAAAAGCAGGAGGTCTGCCCCTGCCCTCCACTAGCTGTGTGTCCTAAGGCAAGTGGCCCGACCTCTACTGAGTGGCATTTGATCTCTAGGGGCTTTTGTGGCCCTAGCATTCCTGTCTGATACACTGCTCCATGGTGAGATTTGGGGCTCCCTGCATGTGGGGAGAGCAGGAGTTTGTGTCTGGCTGGGAGCAGTGCCAGGCAGACAGGTGGAGCCCAACTTTCGGATGTCTGGAAGCACCAGAAAGCCAGCTCAGGGCATCATCCTCCCTGGATCCTGGGAAGTGGAAGAGCAGTGGCTTCAAAAGGCCACAGACAGTTACCATGTGAGGAAAAAGGGAAAAAAAATAACCCCAATCAACAGCGGCTAGCGTGAAGCTGGGGCTGCTGTGGGGAACAAAGAACTGAAGAAATTACTGGAGAACATCAGGACCTTCTCCATGGAAACCGCTGCAGGACAGCTCAGCATCCATCAGTTCAGGGGACAGTTCCCATGGCAACGGCTCGCCTGGCTGCGCTGAATCGCTTGTGACGTGCTTGCCTGACGGCTTTAATTGCCTCCTCCTCTGCCTGCTGCGGCAGGAGTGTCAGCGGGAGTGTCAGTGGCGGGAGTGTCAGTGGCGGGAGTGTCAGTGGCGGGAGTGTCAGTGGCGGGAGATGATGCAGGAGGATGTGGGGGCGGGGAGGGAGCACTAAATGCCATCAGAGGTTTCTATGCCGAGATTCCTGAGAATCCAGGTTTCTTATGCAGCCAGGGGAGATGCTGGGGCATAGGTGCCTCTGAGGGGTGTGTGTGTGTGTGTGTGTGGTGGCAACCAGCCGCAGCTGGAGGTAAAGGGTGGACAGGGCATAGGAGAAATGCGAGCAGCCCACAGGAGGGAGGGACACTCAGAGAAGAGATAGCAAGATGGCCCAGCCATGGCATTCCTACAGCATGGATGCCTGGGAACCATCCAGATTTAGACTTGGGTGGGGCTCTGGGTGACCATTTAACCTGACCCCATATTTGCAGACTGGGAAACAATGTCTGGGCCTTCACGCCTGGCTGCAGAGCTCTCCCCGGGCTTGGTCAAGCCTGGCTAGAACAGGCGCCCTACACGGAAGGCATGCAGACTGGACAAGGAGCAAACGGGGGCCTGGGAGGGGAGAGGAGCGTCCAGAGAAAAGGTGCTCTTTCCTGCAGAACCAAGACAGGGTAATGCCTGCTGTGGCCTGAGGACAGTGGCCTGGGTGGGAGAGGACAGCAAGGGGGAAGGGGCAGGTCACTCTGAGGCCTCACTGTGGGGCCAGGTTAGGGCCCCCAGCAGGCTGGCATCTGTGCATTTTGCAAATCAAATCAAATTTGAGCCGCTTTTGTTTCTGGGTAACTGGAAACATGCAGAGCTTCTGGAAAACCAAGGAGGGACGCTCCCTTTGCCAGGCTGCCAGGCTGCCAGGCTGCCAAGCTGCCATTGCTTTTCCTGTTCCTGGGCCGCCCTCGCGTGGTGAGCTGTTGAACTGACTTTCTCCAAGACAGTTCAGGGATACATAAGCCGGTAAAAAGCGGAAAGAGCCAGGCCTGCTAAGGTCCCTCTATGCCTGCCAGGCCCAAGGGGGCTGGAGTGCTGCCTGGGAGCCGGCTCAGGGACCTGTGCTCACAGGCCAGGGCCTCAGGGAGAGAGGGGGTCCTCCTCCCACCTCCTCGCTCCTGCAAGACTTGGGCTCCAGGGAACCTCTAAGCATCCTAAGGATCTAATCTTGCAGGTCCTAGGACTTGGAGTGCTTCAAGGCTACCTCCTGTCAGCCATTTACAGATAAGGAAACTGAGGCCCAGACAGTCAGGTCTCGAGGATTCAGGGCCAGAAGACAGCTCCAACTCCTGGCTCCAACCTTCCCACTGCACGCCAGTCCGAACCCAACCCCCATCCCTTTTTTTGCTTTCTTAAGCCCTGTGGGCTTGAGAGAGAGAAGACACCCAGCTGGCCTTTGTGGGGGTTGGAGAACTGGTGGGCACTGTGACAATGCCACTGAGCTCAGTGCCACTGACAGAGCAGGGTCAGAAACAGGGTCATGCCGGGCCAAACCAGGCCAGGTCCTGCTGGGCTCTGAGTAAGGGGGGACCAAGCCCATGTGACTCAAGAGGCAGGCGCTTGGCTGAGTACTTTCCTCGGTCCTCACAGCAACCCAAGGAGGTATTGTTGCTTCAATTCTAGAGACAGGAAAGGAAAGGTGACCTTGCCCAAGGTCACTGGGTAGGGTGCAGCCAGGATTTGAATCCAGACCTGCCAGCCAACCCTCTGCTGCTAACCATGTACATCTGCAGCTGCCTCTTGATTTTCCTAAGCAGGCTGTGCACAGACACAGTGCACGGGCCGCAGCTGTCCTGTCTAGACACCTGCCTTAGTTCAGGCTGCTCCTGTCCCAGGCTGGGCCACTACCTGGGCGGATGTAGAATCTGAGAGCTGGCGGGAGGTGCAAGTTGGGGGCATTTGCGCACAGATTTTCATAACTTCAGCAGAAGGGAAGGAGGAAGCCCTCCCTGGGTGCTCCGCAGCAGCCCTCACTGGGGCAGCCATGGTCAACCACCCTTCAGGGTGCAAATGTCGGATCAGGCTCTGAGGTGGACATGTCACTCCCCAAGCACCTGGCAGACAGGCTGAGGGGAGGGACAGAGAGCATGTGTCCTTGTGCAGTGGGATATTTAGGGCAAGTTTAGACCACTCTGTCCCTTTCCTGTGCTTTTCTGCTCTAGAGAAAAAGTGAAGACTCCTCATTAAATACTTGTGGCCCTGTGGCAAGACATCCTGTTCTTTGGAGCAATGGTTCTCAAAGGAGGGGGATAGGTTGGGCTGCTGCGTCACATGACATGTGCTGATTTTGCAGAGGGTCAGACTGACTTAAAAAGAATCTTAAGGATGACTTCAGATGCTGCACCCTATTCAGTGTTGTGAGAGGTTTTTGTTTGTTCCTGTTTGGCTTGTGAAGCAAAACAAGAGCAGAGGACATGCATGATCTATGATTGATTTTCAAATGTTTGTCGTAGGCCAGGACCCATCTAAAAAACAAACAAAGCAAAGCAAAACACAGGAAGACTTTTAACACATAAGTCAAGAAACAGCTGACTGCTCTGGCTGGAGCTGCAGTGGCAGGGGGACATTTGCCTCTAAGCACACCCTGACTTTAAAGCTACCACAGTGAAGTCTGAGAACCACTGCGTGAGAGCCGAGGCATTCCAAGTGCCCCGGGGATGGAGGGACAGGAAAGCTTTGTCTTTATGGTCCAGAGCTTCACCCCAAGGGCAGCTGCATGCAGGGAGCTTCCCTGGGCTGTGAGACTGCACAGGGGCGGGTGACAGGAGCGGCAGCTGCTTACCTCTGGGTAAGACCACTCTGGGGAGTAGTCGGTCACCATGAACACCCGTCCACTCTGCTGCAGCATCCCCAGGGTGCCCTGGGCAGAGGCGGCCGAGACCACCTCCGCGACGTGCATGTAGGCCATGGTGCTGGCCCCGGCCTCCGCGCTGCTCAGCTGCAGGCTCCCCTGCTGGGGGCTGCAGCAGGGGATGCACATCTCCGCCTGGGTGAAGGGGGCGCGAGCCCCATCTTCCGACTGCGAGAGTGCCGCGCTGTCCCCCGACACCAGCTGGTGCCCATAGATGGTGCCACTGCCCCCCTCCACGGAGATGAAGTCATTGATCAGGTCGGAGAACTGGTTGCTGAAGGAGATATCAAAGTGGTCCAGGCTGAGCTCCATGTTGGAGGCGTTGCCGAGGCTGGGCTGGGCCACTGGGTAGAGTCCCTGCACCACGTTGCCAGGGAGGAGGGGGACGCCACCAGCGCTGCGGATCACCCCGTTGGTCTCGGGCTGCAGGTAGTGCTCAGAGCTACAGGCCTGCAGCTCCCCAGACTTGAGGAGGACCTCGCCCCCTTCGGCTGCCTGCGAGGTCTCCATGGTGACCTCCCCTTCTGCCGTCATGGCCTGGAAGTTGGCCTGGAACTGCATGAGGTGGAGGGAGGAGGTGGACTCTATCCGCGTCTCCACGTGGCCACTGCAAGAGCTGGTCTGGGACGAGGCCTCTGTTTTCACCGTGGGCATCACAAAGGTGCCCCCAGAGTCACTCAGGCTGCTGTGGGCATTCTGCTCGAGGGGGAGGGGTTTGCTGGCGTCCTGCAGGAAGAAGCTCGGAGAGGGGGTCTGGTGGATGTGGGGGCTGTGGCCTGTTTGGCTGAAGCTGGACGTGTAGTCCTTGTTGGAGTCTATGGCACTGAAGTCCATCTGCTCCAGGGTGGTGCTGGGGCTCAGGCCACCACCCGATGGCAGGAGGCTGGAGCCGGCGGTCAGGGTGAGGGAGCTGGACGCCGTGGCTGCCGCGGAGGAAGAGTACGCTTCTTTGGCCATCTGCTGCTCGAAAGAGGTGTCCTCTGTCTTAATCTCCTTGGTGAGGACGGTGGTGAAGCTGAAGCTCCTCTCCACCGGCGGCGAGTGCCGGATGTTGGTGCTGACCATCTCGGCTTTCAGGCCTCCGCCCCCGTACGTCTGGCCCTGCTTTGGGTTATTGAGGAAACAGTCAGGGTCAAAGTTCATGGTGGTTTCGGGAATCTTCCGGCCACCGTCGAGGGTGGTGGAGAGGACCAACTCCTCGGACACGTTGGTGGGCAGCATCGACAGGCTTTCTGAGCTGCCCGTGGTGGGGAAGGCGAACTTGTGGCCGTCGGAGCTCACGGCCAGGACCAGGCCCTGAGAGGCGTCGGGGGAGAGGAGGTGGTGGTTGGGGCCGGAGGTGGGGGACATGGTATACACAGCCTCGTTGGTGACCTCCGACATGAACACCGTGGCGCTTTGGGACAAGCTCCCCATCACGGAGGCCACTGCCATGCTGGACACGCCCGTGACCACGGGGCTGTCCACCATGTCCGGGTCACTGTTGAGCCCGCTGCTGATGGACACAGGGGAACTCTGGGTGGTGTCGGGGACCTCCACCTGGTTGGTGGAGGAGACCTCGGTGCTGTTCTGGTGCAGCAGCACGGGCTTGGCCACCTTGCCATTCCTCTTCTCGCGGCCCGAGCCCTTGCTGTGGCTGTGCTCGTGCTTGCCCTCGGACACGTCGTTGTGCTGCACCTCGGAGTGGCTCCCATACCCCCCTGTCCGTGGCTCGACCTTTGGCGAGATGATGCGGTGTTTGGCACTGTTACACTTGTGATGCACGCTGCTGCCTGCTGCTGCGGAGATGAGAGCACAGCACACACGCACCCACACGCCCGCACGTGCACACACACGCACACGCAAACAGAGGGTCAGAGCTGGGACTTCAGCGGACCCTGCCTCTGAGCAGCTGGGGCCCCTAGCAAAGTCCAGGCCCCACCCCTTAAACACCCATGTACCCCAAGCCCTGGGGCTCTCCTGTCCCCTATGTGACAGTCCTCTAAAGACAGGGGGGCTTTATCTTTGGTGCTCTTTTCATATAGGCATAGTAGTATCCCAGCTCAGGAAGGTCAGGACGGAGAAAGTGGGGAAAATGCCACCATCCAGGAAAGTCCCCTCGCACTGCCAGAGACAGACACCACTCACCTAGAAGGGCTCTTGCTGGCCAGAAGGGCTCAGCCTAGGGATGGTGGCCATGTCCCCCGCACCCCCAACTTCCCACACCTATTCAGTGCTTCGGGAAGCCCCGTCTTTTGGATGCTCCGTCAGGAGCCACCATGGGGATGGAAGCCAGCAGTGGGTGGGAGTGGGGGTGGGGGTGGGGAGGACGCACGCTCTGGATCAGCCTCAGGCCCAGGGCCAAAGTGGGCTCCAAACCCTGCCCCAGAAGCAGAAAGGTATATGAGCCTGGGCCTGTCCTCAGCTCTCTGGGGGACAAGAGCCCTTCTAAGTCCTAAGCAAGAACAAAGCCCCAGCGCTCTTCATTCAGAGGCAGGGAAGAAAAACCCTCCGGAGCCGAGCGTTTCTGAGCTCCGGCAAGTACCTCCCGCAGCTGCACCGGACCGGCAGGCCAGGACGGCTTTTCTCTCCCACTCCAGCTAATATTTTCATTATTTTTATTCCATCTGATAAGGGTCACTTTGCTTTTGATAAAAGGGTGAATTCCCCCCGATTCTGTTACAGCCTCACCACCAAGATTCCTAAATGCATGAAGACTTGCAGAGAAGTGACACGACCCTCTAATGGAAATATCTAATTAAGGCAGCCAGGGGAGTGGAGAACGCACATTTCAAAGAGCAAACACCATTATCAGAGAAACAGACACATTAGGACAGAGAGAGTGGGATGCTTTATGCTCTTGGAGGATACAGAGCTTGAGAAGGAGCTGGAGCATGTGTGGTCCCATTAACTCAGGGCAGATCTCCCCTAAACCCCAGGGCCCAGGACCGGGGCTCCTGCTGCAGATGCCAAGGATGTGGGCCCTGGCAGGCCCCTGGGGGTAGACAGAGGCCCTGGGGCCCCAAACCTCCTCACTCTCAACTCTGTCCCCCAGCTCTTGCCCCCAATCCTGGAGAGAGCTGCCTCTCTGGAAACTGCTCCCTCTGGCCCAGGCAGCTCTGCGGGGCAGGGCATGGGAAGTCCTACTTGTGTCTGTCCTGGTAGCCGCGGTGTTGCCCAGTTCCCTGATGACCCCCTCTTCCCTCTCTGGACATCACGGCCACTCCCGTGGAGAGGGTCACCCCCCACCGCCTCTCAGGGCCCCTCGTGCCCCGAGTTTCCCCAGGAGCCCCGCTCACCCAAGCTGCCGGTGCAGAGGCAGTTGTGGGTCCGCGGCTGGGGCTTGGTCTGGTGGCTGTCGAGGATCTGCTGCACCAGCTGCTCCACCGAGAAGCCTGAGCTGCTGTTGCCATTGCTGCAGGTCCACTTGATGCCATGGACTGCAGAGAGAACGACAGAAGGGCCATTAGAAGCACAGGGCCAGGTGGGCCTCAGGCCCTCTCCCAGGGCAGCCCCCTTTCTGCTGGGAGGCCAACTCCAGGGGCGAACTGATGAGCATGTCGGGGGAGGGAGGAGGGCTGCCAGCCTGCCCCCAATCAAGCCCTGCTCCCATGGGAGTTCTGGGCTCTTCCTCTGCCTCCTCCTTTCCTTTCCCCACTGTGCAGCCCCAGAGTTTTACTTTTGTTTTTCGAAAGTCTAAGTGCACAAGTGGCTCTTCCAAGGGTCCCAGAGTAGAGGAGAAGGGGCTCAAGGATGGAGTAGGTGAGTTGGGGGAGGCGGAGGGACCTCTCTAGGCTGCAAGCACCTCTTATGCTCAGGGGATGGAGGTCGGTGGGTTCAGTGAGCAGGAAGGACCAGGTCCTTCCCAAGAGTGTGTGTCGGGGAGGCCCCACCCTGGAGGAGGAGACGGGACTGAAGGGCCCACATGGCCCTGATGGCAGGTGCCTCAGCGCTCAGTGCTGACTGATGACCGGCCATCCAAAGAGCCACCCTGAGCTTCGGCTGTACCCCACACTGCTGCAGTCCCTGGAGTTGGGGTGGGGGCCCAGAATGGGTGAGCTCCCCAGCTGCGGGGCAGGGTGGGGTTGGAAGTCTAAGCTGGCTTGCCCCCCGCACGTGTGGGCTGAGTTTCACGCCCGCTCTTTGCTGCTCTCCCTCCTCGGCTGGAGAGGACCTGGCTACAAGGTGACTGAGCCCTGAGTCCAGGATGTGGCACAGCCCGGCCCTCTCTGGAGGCTCTGGTGGGGCCGGCTCCAGAGGCAGTGAATCTGCAGCCCGAGGGAGTGACGTGCCACTTGCAGGGGACAGGAGCAGGGCACGGGTCACAGGAGGGAGAGGCCAGTGGCTTTGCCAAGAGAAGAACAATTTCCTTCCTCCTCTGGCCAAAGCGCCTCTCGCATGGGTCCCAGGGTGAGACTGTTAACACTCGCAGCCCCTGTCCTGCTCTGTGAAGGTCACAGGGAGATAGTCCACATGGCGGGTAGGAGCTGGGTTGGATTCAGACCTGGATTTTGTCCTGGTTTTGATCTTGCTGTGTAGATTTGGGCAAGTCACTTAGCCAGTCTGAGCCTCAGTTTCCTTGCTGGTAAAATGGGGATATAATAGTTCCCGCCTTACTGGGGTGTCCAGGAGGAAATACGATCTACATTCCTGGCACTCTGCGTCCCCAACAAAGGGTGGCTGCTGTTGTAACTGCTACTAGTGATGATGCAGTGATGGTGATGGCTGTGACACCCGCAGGCAGTGCTGGCCCTGCCCTGGGGCTTGGCTGACGTTATGGGGGCCGAGCTTGGAAAAGGAAGCAGGAAGCCTCTTGCGGTGAAACCCCCAGATGGCTCAGCCCTGGAGTGCTGGGGGCAGATCTCCACAGCAGCTGCGAGTCTCATGCCCCTGTCAGCACCTTCACTTATAACTCCAGTGGTTTGTCAACGGCAGGGACCCGTGTGTGCGGGTTGGGATCCGGCAGGGACCTCCAGGGTGCAGCTTCCCTCCTCCGCACCTGCTGCCCACCTGGCCAAGGTGTTTGCTCACTTCCTTGCCCTCTGCTTCCTTCAGATGAGGCTCTGGAGTCTGCAGCACCCAGCCTCTTGCACCTTCACCTGTCCCCAGGGAGGCCCAGATTCTGATGGGCCATCTAGAGGGGACAGGCAGGACACAGTGGCACCTGTCCTGAGCATGCCGAGCTGCCTGTCCTGGCTCCCTGGAGGATTCTCCCGCAGCCCAGGAGGCTCCTGCTGACTTGGGTTCCTCTTCTCCCTGGGTACCTCATCCCTGGCAGCTGGAAGGGAAGCCCTAAGCCAGGGGTTTTTAAACCTCATCATAGGTATAGGGCCGTTTTCTCAACTACACCACTACCTAGAAATCCAATATAGAAGACAGAGAACCACAGACGTGGCCTAGTGGAGGCAGGGACACGGGTCACAGGCCTGTCCCATGGCCAGACTCCTTGGCTAAGGACCTTTCCAAACGCATTCTGCAGGTGAGAAAACAGAGGCTCGGGGAGGGAGGTGACAACCCATATCCGACTCCTAGTCGCCACAGGGCAGGATTGGGGACTGTTCTCTGCACCGTTGCACATGCAGAGGCCCATCCCAGCTGTGTGTCCCCTACCCTGGCTGTGCCTAGGTTCCAGCTTGGAGATTCTGATGTCATTGGTCTGGAGTGGTGCCAGGTTTTTTTTTTAAATGCCATTAGGATGGGGAACTCTCAGCTTTGTCCTAAGGCTAAATTCAGCAGGGACTGTGAGTCCAAGAGCACAAACACCTGCAGAGCTCAGCATCAGAGGTGCTACCTCTGGGAACTCTCAGCAGATGTCCACTGCAAAACCAGGCCAGATGTTCTGCAGGAAAACCACCACTGAGTTTGAACTTGGCTCTCTGGGAAGATGAGTTGTGCTCAGGGCAGCCCCACCTCTGGCTTCTGGCCTCCTGGCCACAGCCCGCTCAAGGGTGTTGGGTTTGGGGGTCGGTGGGCTTGTTAATCCCTCGACTGGCATTTGTGATCAGGCCCCTCTGCTCTGACAGCTGCAGCTCAGGATAGCTTTCTCCTCCAGCCCCTGGTGGAGGGGGCAACCGCATTCACTCTACCTCCTGCTCTCTTCCTTATGCTGTGAAGGTTATAAAATGAAGACCCAGTGAAGGGTGACAGATTGCAAGCAGAGAGTTTCTGGATGCTTAATGCAAATCACCTACTGTCTTGGCACATCCAGTATGCAGATCGTGCCCCTCCCCCTCTGGCATGTGGGGTGGGGACAAGCCCCCTCCTCTGAGGTGGCAAGTTGTTAGTACCGAATATCAAATACCATCAAGATGGCTTTTAACATGTCATGCTCTGCTTCCCAACACGTAATGAATCAGTGGGGGAGGAGCTTTCCTTAGGGAGAAAAGCGCTTTGTGAAAGGAAGGTTAATGAACACGTGCAGCGGCTCCCCCTTCTGCGGCCCCTCCCCCTTTGTGAAGCAGCACAAGGGAAACAGGGTGAATAGTCCCTGGAGCATGTGACCTTCCGTGATGTGTAAGGTCATGGCATGGCATGTAAACGAGGGGACACGGAGCAAGGAAGAGGGATTCCCAGAAAGGTAACCTCCTGGTGGCTCTGGGTCACATCTGTCCCTCAGCAGAGGGCACTGGTCTCCTTGCTCCCAGGTGTGGTCAGCTGCCTCGCCTCAGGCCTGGGCAGTGGTCCTGGTCCCTGGCCTCAGGGGATGGAGAGGGACCCGTGTCCCCAGGAAGGCTGGGACAGAGGAAGTACTAGAGAGAGACAAGAGCAGGTGTAGGGGGAGAAGCTGGCCCCCAGCATGGGCCTCCACAGGACAGGGGCACCAGGTTGGCCACACTAGCCACTGGGCTCCTTCAAGGGCCCCCTCCTGCAGCTGCCCTGAGGTCCCAGGGCCTGGGGACTGCCTTGTCTCGTACAGGGCTGCCTGCAGTGTGGCCTGAGTGAAGACCAGTCTGCTGAACTGAGGCTGTTACAGAAGCCCAGGGCCCACTCCAGTGCGGACCTGGCCAGTTGTACAAGATGTTTACCCTAATCACAACCCGCAGCAAGGCAGCAGTGCTCCCACTAATATGAATAATCAAAATGAAATCAATGACAACAGCATGTGGCCCAGGCTTTGGAGAGCATCTTCTGATGAACAATTTACCCAAGAGGCGGCCAACCACAGGGAAGAGAGTAATTGAGATCTGGAAGAGAGGGCTGGGGGAGGTGTGAGGGCCTCAGCCCCATGCAGGGAAGGCTGCCAGCCAAGGGCCTCTTGGGTTATGGCTGTTCCATCCCTGGCCCCTGGGAAGAGCTGGAGAGGTTTGGCCAGTCAGGCTAAGCCCAAGTCCAGGCAGAGGCCCCCTATTTTCTTCCATTGTGAACTGAATTGTGTCCCCCTAAATTCATAGGTTGAAGCTTAATCCCCAATGTGACTGTATTTGAAGGTAGGCCTTTAAGAAGGTAATTAAGGTTAAATGAGGTCATGTGGGTGGGGCCCTAATCCAATAGGGCTGGTGTCCTTAAAAGAACAGGAAGAAGACACCACGGGTGTTTGTGCACAGAGAAAAGGCCATGTGAGGACATGGCGAGAAGGTGTCCATCAACAAGCCAGGAAGAGAGGCCTCCCCAGAAACCAACCTCAATGTCACCTTGATTTTGGACTTCCAGCCTCTAGAACAGAAAGCCACCCCGTCTATAGTGTTGTTACGGCAGTGTCTTCGTCTGTTTTGTGTTGCTATTATGCAGTACCACAGACTGGGCAATTTATAACGAACAGAAATTGACTGACTCATGGTTCTAGAGGCTGGGAAGTCCAAGATCAAGGTACTGGCATCTGGCAAGGGCCTTCTGGCTGTGTCATCACCTGGTGGAAGGTGAAAGAAAGAGAATCTATTTCGGGAACACTTTTTATAGTGGTATTAATCTATTCACAAGGGCAGAGCCCTCATGACCTAAACACCTCCCTTAGGCCCCACCTCCCAGCATGGTTGCACTGGGGATTAAATGTCAACAAGAAGTTTGGAAGGGACAGACATCTGAACCACAGCAGGAGGCCTGAGCAGACTAGTGTACCCTGCCTGGGGGCTCAGGCCTCCCCTGTGCCCAAGCTTCTTGGTTGGAGCCTTACAAACCCCTGGGAGAGAGGGGTGTGTAAGGCTGTGCACAGCACACGTGTGTGTGCGTGTGCATATGTACAGTTCAAGGGGCCCTGACGCCAGGGGCTTGCCAGAATGCCTCCCTCCTCTACAACTTTGGATCCAACCCTTCTTCCTAGCACAGCCCAGCTCAACCCCCCACCTAGACGTACTGAATCAGAAACCCTGGGGATGGGGCCCAGCATCCGCATCCTAACAGGCCCTCCAGGGGGCTCAAATGCATGCTGAGATTTGAGAACCGCTGACACAGAGAATACCATAGCCTTCCTGCTACTCATCCCTGTCCCCACGGGAGCAGGCAT